ATCGAAGTCGGCGGCGGCAACGACGGCTTCGAATGGTTTGAGAGCGGCCAGAACATCGGAGGACGCAGGCGCATCCCAGGCGACGACCAGCAGGACATGCAGCGCGTTCAGCTTCGGCTCGATGGCGTCGACGCCATGTCGTCGGCAAGCATCAGCTGCGCGGCGACGCCTTTGAGCTCATCCTCGAAACCGCCGAGCTTGACGAGGAGCGCCGCCACGTCGACGACCGCCGAGACGGCGAGCTTCTGCGCGGCGCGCTCCGCACTCTCGCGGAGCGCCGCGAGCCTGCGCGCCCGCGCCGCCCTGAGCGCGCAGCGACGTGCCCAAGTAGCGAGCCGACGCGACGCAGCCGCGGCCCTGGGAATGCGCATCCACCTCCACCCCCCGCGCCCTTCCGAATTGCACCCCGATCCCCTGCACCCGGCGCCTCTCGGAAACTGCGGTTGCGCGGCGACGCGCTGCTGGGGGGCGCGGCCCCGCCGCTGGCCCGCCCGCAGGCATCGAGCACCTCCCGCGAAGACGCGGCGTCCACCATGACAGCGCCGGCGTTGGAGATGGCGGCAATCTCGCCGATGCACTCGTCGATGTCGCGCCCGATCTCTTTGCGCGCCCGGAATTCCTGGACGTTGGCCACCGTCGCTGCGCGTTTCACGGATTTGCCAGAGAATCCCACGGCTTTCTGCGACGGGGTGGCTGCGGGAACAGCGGCGCCGCAGGCCTCGCCCGCCTTCGCCCCTGGGTCCACGGCGGCGCCGTCGGTCGCCATCGTCGCGGGCCCCGTCGGGGCCCGCATCGCCGGCGCGCCCTGCTCAGCGACGCTGATCACCGCAGCGGCGCCGGCCGCTGCGGCCCCGCCCACGTTCGCCGCCAAGTCCGCGGTGGCGCCGCTCGTGCATCGGCGCCTGAGATGCGGGCGCCGTCTGCTCCCCCACCCAGCGGCGCCGCCCTCTGTGGCGCCCCCCGGTGCGACCGCCATCTCTTCAAACGCGCGGTCTGGGTCCGCCGTCGAACGCTCGCGCTGGACCAGCGCTGCCAGCGCGGCTGCCTCCTCGGACGCGCCGCGCGCGCCCGGGAAAAGGCGCCGAAGGCTTCGACATCGCTTGCAGCGAAGTCGCCCCGGGGCGTCAGGAACGTGAGCTCCTTGATTACATCCAAGAGCCACGTCGCGAACGCGCCCGCTCGCCCCGCCGGAATCAGATTGGCCACGCGGCTCGTCGCCCATGTCCCAGAAGGCGATTTATTCTGGCGCATCACATACTTCGCCGTCGCTGACGACACATGGAAATGCCCTGGTCCACTGGCCTGCCCGATCCCCGTGGCCCGATTGAAGAGCGCGTCCAGCACCTGCTTCAACTACCCGTGGCTTGGGGCGTAGACCGCCCCCGCCCACGCACACCCTCGACGCTCTTCTCTGATCCATCCGCGCCCTCGCCGGCCCAAGCGGTCGGATTGACAACGTCGCTTGGGCGCAAGTACTCGACCAAGCAGCCGGCCGGAAGCGCGGCCTCGCGCGCTGTCTTCCACGCGGGTTGGTTCTCGGGATTCTGCGAGATGAGCCCCGAAATCCACCGGGCAGCCTGCGCGTCTTTGGGCCGGTCCGCGAGGTCCTTCGCGCCGCGCCGCCCGTCGAGAGATGGCCGCGAAATTCGCCAGAAACACTGTTGAAGATCTCCGAGCTTGCCTCTCCGACTGCTGGCGCGCATGAGATTCGGCCTGCCGTCGGCGCCGTTGCCCGCGAAGTGCCTCCTGGTTCTCCGCGGGCCGTGCTGCTCTGATCTCGGTATTCCGAGCCGCAATGGCCACCTCGTCATCCTCTTGCTGCTCGATGCACTGGGCCCTTTCCAGTGCGTCGCGAAGCTCGCCGGCAGCGCGAACGCAGTTCGCGCTTGCCGCTTGGGCCATGGCTTGCGCCTGTTGGCGAGCGTCGCCGGCCCTGCCTGGCGCCTGCCGCTGCGCCTCTGCGCGCTCGGCCGACGCCGTCTTCGCGACGGCCTCGGCGCCCAGTCGATCTGCTCGGGCCTGTCGAACCACTGCCTTTGCCTCCGCCTCGACGGGGGCGCCGCGCGCCTCTGCCGCCGCGAGCTCTTCGGCGACGCTGGTCGTCGTCGCCTGCCGCGTCTCCGCGGCCCCCGAGACGGCGCCCTGAGCCCCGTCTGTAACGCTCTGTACGACGTCTTGAGCGCGCATCTCGGCGACCGCCGAAGCTTCGACCCTGCTGGCCAGGTCGCGGGCATCCGCCGACGCTCGCGTCGCTTGCTACGAGGCGGCGGATGGCTGCCTCGCCTCGGCCTGCCCCATGGCGCAAATCATTGCGACGCGATCGCTTTCGGCCGGGATTGAAGAGGCAGAACCCTGTGGAACCTCGGCTCTCCAGATATGGTCTCTCTCTCTTCGGCGCCAACTCCGGGCCCCTTTCTTCGGCCATTGCATCGCGCCTTCGCCCGTCGGCCTGCCCCCTTCCAGCGCCGCGCAGCGCCGCGCGCATGCGCGCGAGAGGGGGGGGGGGGGGGGGGGGGCAATCCAGACAGAGGATTACCAAGTTGCACAGGAGACAGCGGACCGAGCGCGCACGGCAGACTGCCTCCATGTGCTGTCCTCGATCCGGGGAGCAGCGTTCAGGGAATGCCGCGCGCCAAGGGCCTCTGTTCGCGCGTGACTCATCGATGCGAAAACTCGATGCGTTGGAGCGCGCCGTGCGAGGGGGGAACGACGACGCGCCCGACGGGGCCCTAGATGCCTCAAGTCGCTCGGGCGCGAAAAACGGGGGCCCCCGTCGCACCGAAGCTCAGGCGCCCCGCGCGCAAAGTCCTCTGCGGACTGGCCCCCGGTTCGAGCGCCTGGTTCTCCTCTGGTAATTATGCCTTCCCTCCGTTTGATCCGCTTCGTGAGCGGGGGTGTGACTGCCAGGCTGATGGACCCCGGGGCTGCTCCGCCGCGATAACTGTCGAACCGGCCCCCTCTTCGGCGTTCTGTCGAGCTGCCGCGGGCCGACCGGCCATCGCCGATGTCATTTCGCTGCGTTCATCTTCCCGCGAAGCTTCGGCGACCCAATCGTTGAAAAACAACGGCGTCGGGGACGGGCCCCGAGCCGAAATCGGGGGCGACCCGAGACCGCAAGCCTCGGAATCGCCCCCCGTTTCCTTGTTCAGACGCGGGGTCGACTTGACTGACCCCCCATTCATCTTGCGAGACGGTCGCGTGGTCATCCTGTTCATCATCCGACGAGTCGGAGGAGATCACGTAGGCTAGATGACCACCGGGCGGCAACGGTTGCTCGTCGAAACTGCTCAATCCATGCCACTCGGCCTCTGCTCGATCCATGCCAATCCACCGTGTGCGCGTCCGCCCGTGGACTGTCGCGCTGGCCGGGGCCTTCTGCCGGCGGATCTCCCGACGAAAACCAAAAACCCTTGATAAGAAACTGCGAAGAAAGCGAGTCGGAACGCCGGATCTTTTGTCAGGAAACCCGGAATTGAATGCGATATTTTGGGCTCCGTTTGAACCATGTCATTGCTCTTCATTATCTGGTACGTCCACCTTCGAAACGGGAAAGCACAGCTTCGTGACATCGTGGTGCAGCTTTCGGTTGGCAGCCCGCCGCTTGCACATTCATCATGGATGCGGGCATTATCTTGATCCTGTTGACACGCTCTTGGTTTGGATACCGTGGTAGGTCATTTTTCAAGTACTGGTCCAACATTGACTCTCAAAGAGGATGTATTGGACGCCATGGTTAAGATGTCCGCTACGCGGATGCGCTGGGTAACTAACTAACCCAGCTACCCGAGGGGAGCGAGGCCAGGCGCGCGCGGGGTAACCTATGAGCACAGGTAAGTACGTATGGTGACGCACATGATCAATTGAAGTATAATGCCAGCGAAGCAAAAACTAGCGAAGGGCGCACTAAACACGACTGCCCCCTGACCCGGACCCCCTGCAAGTCGAACCAATCGAACCGAAGCGTTCGAAAAACCCAGGCCGAACCGAACCGTAATTGGACCCATGCCAATCCGATTACAACCGAATCGGTGTCAAACCGAACCAGCCAATTTCAACCGAACCGGGGCGCTAACCTGCCAAGCCGGACCGAATCGCGGCCACGATGTCGTTGGGTGAAGCCAACCTGGACAGGCGCGACCCAAACTCGGTGCTTAGAGCATTTTCAAATTGTTCGTCATGAAAATAGAGACGCTATACACGGACGGCTCCTCAACACCCATCAGCAAGCAGTCGCGAGGAACCCCCCGAGGGGAAGACCACCCTGGAGGGGGAGCCGTTCGAGGACAGCATCACTCTCAATTGAGGCTTGATTGAGCTTTCCTCGAAGGAGGAGCTACCTGACCCTGTCGTTTTCTGTTCAATTATGGCAGGTTCCTGCCAAGACGGCGCGAGCCCTGGTTTGTGACATCGCGTGAATCGTTCAACCTTGAACGATCTCCAGTCTGGAACGTCCCCAGAGGCAGTCGGCTGCATCGTTCGCGGGGGGTTCACGCCGCGAGTGTTTTCTTTAAACTCCAAGGCGAAACGGCATTCTGAGCGTATTCAGTCTTGACGTCGCCGCCGTCCCCCGACCCAGTCCTGGAGACTGGGTTTTCCTTCCGCGCCGCTGGTTGAGCGTCCCGTGGCCCGAAACCGTCCACCATAAACCTAGACCTGCGAGAAGCCCGCCGTCGTATTTGTTGGTGTACCGCCACCAGGGGTTCAGGTCCGTCTCCTCCTGCTCCAGGAAATCCCCAAAACAAAAACGCGAAATCATTGACACATACTCTTCCTGTTTGGCTGGTGCTGATCTTCCCTGACGTGGGGACCGTTTCTGCTGGAAACGAATATTGAGAGATCTCCCAGGGAAAAGCTTTTCAGCCCGAACCTTCCTCTGACGGCCGCGGGGCCTGGGGAGAGATCCGAAGAGCTCAAAGCCTGCCCCAACAGTGCCTTCAAGACCCGTTTATTCCAAGGCCCGTTCTCTCGTCACGCTTATCCCCACCCCCGCCCCAGGCTGCCAGTGCTGGACTGCCGGTGTGGCCAAGGGCTCTTCGGCGATGGAACGCCACAACCGGTGGCAGCGGTCCTCCAGCTGGCAAACAAAATGAGCGACGGGTGGCACTTCCCGTCGTCAGCATCATCATCATCATCATCATCATCATCAGCATCAGCATCAGCATCAGCATCATCATCATCATCATCATCATCATCATCAGCATCATCATCAGCATCAGCATCATCATCATCATCATCATCATCATCATCATCATCATCATCATCATCATCATCATCCTGATCATCATCATGATCATCATCATGATCATCATCCTGATCCTCATCCTCATCCATCATCATCAGTATCATCATCATCGTCATCATCATCAACATCATAATCATCCTCATCCGTATTAGCATCAGCATCAGCATCATCAATATCATCATCATCATCCTCCTCATCAGCATCCTCATCCCCATCCTCATCCTCATCATCCGCATCATCCTCATCATCCTCATCATCATCATCACCACCATCACAATCATCATAATCAGCATCGGCATCAGCATCAGCATCATCATCATCATCATCATCATCATCATCATCATCATCAGCAGCAGCATCATCAACATCATAATCGTCGTCCTCCTCCTCCTATTCCTCCTCCTCCTTCCCCCCCCCCCCGCCTCCTGCTCCTCCTTCTTCCCCACCTCCTGCACATCCTCCTCCTCCTCCTCGCCCTCCTCCTGCTCTTCCTCACCTCCTCCTCCACATCCATACCTCCCGCCACTTCCTCCACCTGATCCTCCCCCTCCTCCTCCTCCCCCTGCTCCTGCTCATGCTCCGCCTCGTCCTTCTCCGCCTCCTCTTCCTCCTCCTTCTCCTCCTGCTCCTCCTCCTCCTCCTGCTCCTCCTCCTCCTCCTCCTTTCCTCCTCCTCCTCTTCCTCCTCCTCCTCCTCCTCCTCCTCCGCCTCCGCCTCCTCCTTCTCCTCCTCCTCCTCCTCCTCCTCCTCCTCATCCTCCTCTTCCTGCTCCTGCTCCTGCTCCTGCTCATCCTCCGCCGCTCTCTTCTCGTCCCCGCAGGCCGAGGAGGAGGGAGCAGGGAGGAGAGAAGAGGAACTGGGGAGGAAGGAGGGAGGAAGGTACCATGAGGGAAGAAGGAGAGGTGGAGGAAGGGAAAGAGGAGGGAGGAAGAGATGCAGGAGGATGGGGGAACTGGAACTGGCTTTGACTTAATAAATCTGCCTGGCCGCTCCGCGGCATCGGACGCCGCAATCTAGAACCGAGATCGACGGCCCTCCAAAAGCGCGAGAATCGTGACCAAAGGATCCCCCCAAACAGGGCGCAGCGGTGCCGCGCGCCCCTACCGCGTGAGCAAGCCTGTTTCAAGTGGATCCCCCCAAACCATGTGTCACGCATCATCCTCTGGGATGGGACAACACTCGTCGGATTGGGTAGAACGTGGCTGCGCTGCTTAGCCGATTCGACCGCCGAGCTGGCCGTCTTGAGACCAGATCTGCCGAGATCTGCCGAGGTCCAGCACGGGAGCCTGATGGAAACCTACGGACCTACGGGGACCTCCTCAGGCCGAGGACCCACGGGCCCAGACAACAGCCCAGCCTCCGCCCGCGACGAAAGCGACTGGGACCCCGTCAGCACACAACCAGCCGACGCCACTCGCATCCAAACCTCTGAAGCCAGAGAGCACGATCGGCAAGGGCGCAGGCGGGTTCAGGCGGCGCCGAAAGCGAGAGCGCCGCCCCTCGACACCCGCACGCGGCGCCCCGGAGAAGCGGACACCCGCGACACCTCTGCCAGGGCCGACTCTGTGGCCCACCGAGGCCCCGCAGGCTCTGCAAGAGTAAGTGGGCGGCAGGCCGTCGACGGCCCCTCGCGCGTCAACTCTGATGACCGAACTCCTCTCAAAGAGCCAAGGACAGATCCCCAGCTCCCACCCGCCCTGGCCCTTCTCTGGCCGTAGCTCGGGCTCGGCAGGGAGAGGTGCGCGCTGTATCTGACGCAGGCCCAGTCACTGGGGCCCAGTCTCACACGCGCCCCTAAACCTAAGGCCTGGTCCAGGGCCTCCAGACCCTCGGGGACAGCCTCGGGGTTAACCCTAAATTCTGACTGCGTTTGCGGCGCCCCGCCCGCCCTGTCCGCGCCCCGCAATTCGCGATCCACATCCAGGCTCGCATAGGACAGTCCCTGCGGCCCAGATCTCCAGCGCGCGCCTCGCAAGGACCAAGGAACAATATTCGCGTTGATGTCAAAGCTCGAACTCCTGCCGGGAGCAAGCGAGCGGGAGCTGCCCCGCGCACTGCACGCCTGAGAACGCCGTCGCCGCAACTGCAAACCACCCACCAGCCCGCTCAGCGAAAGGCGCCGAATAGAGTACAATACGACGATCCGTCATTAGACACCTCAGCCTCAAACGCACAGCCGAGCAGGGATCCCACGGACCTGATGTGATTTTCCTCGGGAGGCCCCCTGGCAACCGAAAGCGCCCTGGCGGAGAGGCCGAGACCAAACCCGAGAGGCCCCGGATCAGCAGGTCGGCTGCCCAGGGGGGAGACCCCTGTTCTGCTCGAACACTCGTCGGCGGCCGCCATCATTGCCGTCGCCCCCCAGGCGCCTCAGCCCAGCGCGTCTCGTCAGCCCGAGCTCTGCCCAGCAGGCGTCGAGCCCCTGCGCCAGCCTGGAATCCGACGCCAGGCAGTCCCCCCCGCCCCCGCCAATATCGACGCGCGCGGCTCCTTCGCTGCCAGCGGGAGCTGCTACGCCGCCAGTTTGCGGACACCCACCCCTGGGCCCTCACCAAATGGGCGTCTGGTCGCCGCGCGCGCCAGCAAGGGCGTCGTTTGCAGAGACATCCGCTGCTCCGACTCCGCCATGGGCACCACGGCGAGGTCGCCCCGTTGGCCTCGATTACTGGTCAGATCTTGCCCCCCCCCGCGCCACCACCCCGCGCAGGCCCCCGCAACAGCGGATGGTAGATAGCTCGAGCAGGTGCACGCGTCTCGAGGAAGGCCCCAGAACGATGGGCCTGACCCCCTGGGCGGGGGCTGCGGGAGGAAGACCGACAGTGGCATCCACGGCGGGCACCTGAGCGGGCTCCTTCTCCAACAGGGCACGACGTACAGGAAAACATGGCGGCGCTGCCGCAGTCGAGACAACTGCCTCGGATGGGGATGTCCCCATCATGGGGATCCACGGGCTACTCCGCGGCAAGGTCATCCCCCAGCACCGACCCGTCGGGCGTGATCGTAACCCCACGGCGCAGGAAGGAGAGAGGCCCGAAACGCGAAGGACATCAGTCGGCGCATTCACCCACCACCAGCCAGCGAACCCCCACTCACCACTCCGCTTCTGCCGCTTCCCGCGCGCCGGTGAAACCGGCCACGCGGCTGCAGCATTGTAGTCCCGCTTGGCTGGCAGACACACTCCTTTTTCTGAAGTGTGCATGTGTGTGTCTGCAGTGCTCCCCTGAGTGCAAGACGGTGCTCCTCTGAATGCCTCCATTCAGCCTCGACGCTGATGGAACCGAGAGCCTGTCGGCAAAAAACGCCGCTGCACTCGCAGAGTCTACAGCTGGACTAGATATCCGCCGACCCTGTCGGCCTGTGGAAGAGGCTGTTCCGTTTGACTCGTCGTCGTCGTCGTCGTCGCGGTCGTTGTCGTCGTCGTCGTCGTCGTCGCCTTTGCCGCTCGCGCCCCCCCTTTTTCCTGGGCCCGTCGCCGTTCCCCCCACTTTCACCGGGCTCTCCTCCTCGATCGCGCCAGCCACAGCGAAATTGAGCAACATTGTAGTTGAGTCGAAAGAAACCCCTTCCCTTTGATCCCTTCCCCGCCGGGGGGGGGGGTCCCGGGGGTGAGGTCCCGCGAAAGGGGTCCCAGGGGGTGGTCCCGGGGGCGTCCCGGGGGGGGGTCCCGGGGGGGTCCCAGGGGAGGGGTCCCGGGTGTGATATGGAAATCGGGAAGAATGATCGCTGATCGTTCTTGTTCGAGCGTCGAACAGGCGTAGCTCTAGGCCAAGGGCCCTCAATTTTTTGAAACCGATACGGACGCGGGAGATAACGCAAGAGCAAGCAAACGCAGCAGCAAGCTCTGGAGCGAGCGGAAGCGAGGTGGAAGCGGGGAGTAGGAGCGAGGGAACCGCTAGGAATCATACTCCTCCTGCACGGCTTACGAAGGCGCTCGCAGCGGCCTGAGAGAAACGGGTATATCTTCTCTCGCTTACTTTCACGGGACGAATTATCGGGATAATTCTTAAAACAGCGGCGGCGACAGCAAAGGCAGGCAAACGGCCTGGCACGGCTTGCAGCAAGGAGTCTTATTGAGATAATATCTGAATGGGTGCGATCGTCCTCACATCTTGTAAACAAAAAGCTGCGCAAACTGAACGAAGTTTCTGCATATGCGGAATTACGTGTAAATCTTTAGCCAGGCGCGAAAGACAACACAGCAAAGCTGGCTTACATATGAATATCCGGGTGTGAAAATCTGAGCAGCAATGCGGACTAACGTATGAATAGCCGGGTATGGAAATAGAGCAATAATGCGGACATACGTATGAGTAGCCGGGTGTGAAAACAAAGCGGCTGAATATTTGCCGGTTCGATCGGCCAACCTGCCGTCTGGAAACCAAGCGGGGTTCCTCTTTCCTCCTTGGGCTTCGTCGGTTTGTCCATCAGGTCGGGTCCTCGCCAGCCGTCTCTGCCTGTGAGCTTCCTCCAGCGGCCCATGAGATCGCTCATCACGCTCTCCGGGAAGATCGTGAAATCGGGGTTGCTGTTGCGGTAGTGCCGGAGCAGCCACGACGCGTGCTTCTTGCAAATGTTGCAGGTGATGTAGACAATGTGCGGGTGGGCCCGATAACGACATCATGATGAGGAAGGCTGGCCAAGCAGGTGAGAACGTCGTTCGGCTGTACTGTTGGCGAGGGGCCGTTCCACGATACAACGCTGGCTGACGTGGCTGACACTGAGCTCGATGAACTCGTCACAGTGACGTCGCTTGGCGATGCAGGGGTCGAACTTCCCTGTGATCTCGCTGATCTTGCTCGTCCAGATCCCCGTGCTGATGTTGCGGT